ACGCAACAAAGATAATTGAAATATCTTGACGGGAACGGTTGCTAACGGCGAATTAATTGCAGCTTTTATTTACTGTACAGCGACCGAAGCACAACTCTAGAAATTAAATTAATTACCTTTAGCTTCTATCTTCAACTCTTTGAACTAACACAAATACTTTCGGTAGGACACTTTTCGTAACGAAGCGTCCAACTTGGCTTCTAAATATCGGGTGTTCAATCTACAGAGTGATCACCGAAATGGAGAATGGACGGAAGACAAAAGGACGTGTGGTTATGATTTTGTAATGATCTTGGGGGTCTCCGACCCAGCACTGCAATTTTGACTTACCCTGTACTGACAGTAGGCAACTCTGGAGATAGATTATACGCAGAGCCATGTAACATTCATGTCAAAATGTCGAACGACCGGCCTAGGTGGTACGAATAGGACTCCTATGTTGTGTTCTACTATGGCGATTCTTTTATGTGTCGAGACGTGAGACATACTCGAGAAGAGAATTGAATAAAACTCAGATGCAGTTAAACAAATTAATTAAACGCGATACAAGTGACATAATAAATACAAACGGAAAATAAGAATTTAGTACAAAAACACATCGAACAACTCGTAAAATGATAAATTGCATGTACCTTAAAATACATCAAAATGGCATCGTCTATTATTAATTTATCACGAAAAAGTGCACGTAAGAACGCAATCAGTATTTATGTAAAAATCGATTATCGCTCAAACAGACCCACCTCCCTTTTCTCGTATTGCTAAAACACAAGACCTGCATATTCTTTCATCGATCATAGGTTATCTTTAATCGTTAAATGAAGAATAAAAACCCTGATAAAAACTGACATTCAGAATGTGCTTGGATTATAACAGTGGCAGCATCGTCCAACAAAATGCCCAATCCGCTGTCCAAGGATGGTGTGGGGAGATTTCCGTGGTGCCCTTTTCTTTGGGACCCACTGAATTTTTGTGACAGTATTTTTGGTGCATTTTTATTCTCAAAGGTTAACAACCCTTTAAGGATCTTCAACGTTCTCAAACATTCACGAAATTTATCAGTCTCGGTTTTTAAAAAAAATGAAAATTTCTAAGTATCTAAAAGATTCTTGAGGACTTTTGAAGATTTTTTGACACTCTTGGAGACCTTTTCAGATTCTTCGAGACATTTAGTGACATTTAAACAGCCATAAATGCCCTTAAGGACTTTCGCAGTCGTACTAATCTAATTAAAGGCTCTTAAATCCTCTGGAATACCTTGAAATGCTTTGGAAACTCGTGCAGACTTTTAATGACTTAACGATTTGTATGTACGAATGTTTAGAAGACCTTGGAAAGTGTTGGCGACTTTCAAAGATCCTGTCAGTGTCAAAAAGGATCTTTAACTTTAAGATTAGAGCTTTAAAGACTATTAAACATACTGAAATGCTTCCAAGGACTCTTAGAGACTCTTAAAGACAAAGATCGTTTCGAGGTTCTGAAAAAAGGAGAGAATCAAAAACTTGTAACGTAAATTTAATCACGTACGTTATTTATAACAGCTAAATAATAATAAATTTACAACAGTGTTAAAAATGGATTAATTTTGTTGTTTATCACTTACAATTTATAATATAACTCAAGGGCATCATTTGCTTATACACGGTGTCCATTTTTCGAGTGCCACTATGGGGATCTCACTTATCTTAAGAGATAGAAAGTTGGTTAAATGGGGGCAAAGTTGCCAATTTTCGTGCTGAATAAGAATCTGAAAAGACATTTCAAATATCTTCAATAGTTTTGAAGATATCTCAAAAAAACAAAAATTTCTGATTTTCGTTTTTATTTTTTTTATGATAAACTAATCGTAGTAGACATTTCTAATTAACACATTATTCGGACACTTAGTAATGGAGATTTCAAATATGGCATCCTGTATTTAATAACTCTCCAGATGACGGAGAAACATGTGGCAACTTTAGTTTCTCTTATGGGCGCCATTTTGAATTTTCACATTTTGAGATTACGTCTTTTTTTCTCTTTACAACGATATATCACACATGGTGGTTCAGTATCACATTTTTCCTAAAAATACAATTTTTAATTTTTTGAGAAGAGTGCTTTGGAAAAACAAAACGTTCTTTTGTTGTGAACAAAAGGTTGACTTATTTCATGTACTGTCATTTAGGTTTATGCTAGTTGTAATGCGAAAATGCCTTTTTCAAGTGCAGATCAAAGAGATATGATCCAAATTTACTACACTTCTCATCGAAATGCCCACATGACTGCTGCAACATACTTGCAGCTTTATCCAGAGGGGCAACAACCTAGTTTGAGGTATTTTTCTTAGCTGCATAAAAACTTGGTCGAATATGGTTCTTTTAAAAGATGTAGGCAGCAATATGATGATAGACCCAATTAATATGAGCAGGCAATTTTGCAAGCGGTTGAGATGAAAATCGAATGTCTACTTCTCTGACAACGCTGCAACCAGACAGATGGATCAAACTGTCAAGCTTTTGTTGACAACAAAAGAACGTTTTGTTTTTCCAAAGCACTCTTCTCAAGAAAAATTGTATTTTTAGGAAAAATGTGATACTGAACCACTATGTGTGATATATCGTTGTAAAGAGAAAAAAAGACGTAATCCCAAAATGTCAAAATTCAATATGGCGTCCATAAGAAAAACTAAAGTTGCCACGTGTTTCTCCGTCATCTGAAACGTAATTAAAAACAGGTTGCCATATTTGAAATCTCCATTAAAAAGTGTCCGAATAATGTGCTAATTAGAAATGTCTACTACGACTAGTTTATCATAAAAAAATTAAAAACGAAAATCAGAAATTTTCTTTTTTTTGTGATATCTTCAAAAGTATTGAAGATATTTCAAATTTCTTTTCAGATTCATATTCAGCACGGAAATTTGCTACTTTGCCCCCCATTTAACCAACTTTCTATCTCTTAAGATAAGTGAGATCCCCATAGTGGCACTCGAAAGATGGACACCGTGTATAGCAAAAAAACATTCTTTCTAGAATGTTCTCGAGTGCTCAAGGACGCTTCAGAATGTTCTCGAACAAACGTCACATTTCTAGAAAAGATTACTTACGTCACATCCGCCTTCGTTCTTTATCGCCGATGACTAATCTTTCATGGCGCCTGGATGTCTATCGGGATTTCTGGAGTAGTCGCTTCAAACTATCCGTTTTCAGAAAGCATTGGGAAGCTCTTGGAGACGGTATTGACGACTTAAATTTGTGAAGACTCATAACACAGCAAACAAGCGCAGTAACGATTTTGAAAGGCTCTCAAACACTCTAAAACCCAATTAAAGGCTTTCAAAACCTTTAGGAGACACATGAAGTCTCTCGAATGATGACTCTTATGGACTCTTGGACTCCTTTGGAAGACCTTAGAAACTGTTGGCGACTTTTAGCCGTTCTTAGAAAGCTTTTCAAAATTCTAAAATGCACTTAGATACCCTTACGTCTCGCATGGTGTCAAAGGCTCCCCAAGCTTCAGATAAAAAAACCATCAAAAGCAAAAACCAGGGCAAAAACTCATCGATTTGCAAGTTAGACTTTTAAAGACTCCTAATAGACCTTTGATTTTATACTCTAAAACATTATTCTGATGTTGTTAGGTTATCAACCAATAAAAAGAGAAAGAATCATATTCTAATTTTCTAGAGAAACAAGCACTCCAAAAATTAGCAATGTTTTCCAAAAAGTCAAAAAATTAAGTTTTGGGCAAAATATCGGTTGAAATAGTAATTCAACCGGGAAGTTGTGAATGAAAAAGTTGTAGTGCAATTATGTGGCTTTAATTTAAAATAACAAGAAAACTATTGGGTCCTCATACTTCGTTTTGGTTCTACATTATTGCTCAGTATTTTCATATCTCAGGAGTACCAAAATGGAATTATTATTTAAACCGTGTCAAAAGATTAAATATTTAAATTTTGGACTTGGATGGTATCTTGGGAACTATTAACATTACAGAATTTGGGGTTGGGCTCAAATTGCAGGGGATTTACTCTCCTTTAAAAACCTTCTTTTTGCGAATTTTGATTCAAAAACTGGAAAAACGGCGGGAGGTTTTTCGAGTGCCCTCAGGGTATATCATGTATTTTTGAAGCTGCAAAATTGGTTTCACTCTATTGGTTAATATACAACATACATACCAAAATAAACTTTTGTGTGCGCTTTTTGCAATGTTTAATGTCTACAGTCAGTGGGCTAGACGCTGGCACGCTTTGCTCGTCCACTTTTCGAGAAAAACGGTATTGAAAAATGTGTAAACTTCAAACCTTGAATCTGAGGACCAAGGTAAATTTGTTCTGGAAAAAATATCTCGATAAGAAAGAACCAAATTGTACAATCCCCTTCGACTGTTCAGTAGATTTTAACCAAAAATAGTTGTGACGATAGGATGAACAATTTATGTAGTACTTAGGTCATAAATTTATGATTTTGTCAAGGTTTGCTTCAGTTATCCGCAAATAAGGAAAAATAAGGCGAAAATTAGCGATAATATAATTAAATAACCGTTTCCTTTCAAACGCTAATTGAACGTGGGTTCGCCGTTTTAGCATCTTCGTCGATCCTATCCACAGCGCGCTTACGAAACAGTGCATTTATTTACATATCCTATCACTGCGCGATGGGTGTGTTTGGTTAGCCTCCTCAATGGAGAGATAATTCGAATTCGATGTTCCGTTCGAAAGGTTAATCGAATTATATTCAAGGTCGCCCCTAATCAAAATGCATCACTTTTATGTAATTTAATTTCCGGCATTTACTGAATTAATAAAAGTTATTTATCTCGCTTACAATGCCTGTGACGAACATGCTTACACCATCTCAAAAGTTTATTCCCATAAACATGGGATCGAAGGTGGCCATTATTCCGCTATCGGTTTTTCCTCGGACGCGTTAAACCGGTCTGAGGTTCTTTTTTTGGATTTTGCCTTGTTTAGATCAAGCGCCAATTTCACAGGTGCTCAAGATGATACTTTGTTTTATGTCGTAATGGGAACGTTCAATCCTTATCGGAGTACTTTGTACACGTTGTTCAGTCCCAATTCATTTTGTATTCAAAAGTGCTATCGGCAACAGTCTTCCATAATGTCTCATGGAATTTACTGGTACCTACCCTGCATCAGTTCAACACTTTTAAGGTAATTTTTATTAGTGCCTTTTTGTTGCGAATGTCATCTTTGATAATTCAATGTTTGCTTCGTGTAACCGTTTGGTAGTTTACATAGTACCTACTTCAAGTGCGGTTGTTTTCCAAACTTGGTACGAGATGAGATCTGAACCTCATTTTTCGCTCCCTCTACAGCAATTCCAACAGTGGCAATGGCTGATAACTTCTAAACAAATAAAGCTATCAAAGGAGTCTTAAAACTAAAATAAATGGTTTTGAGTTGTATAACCAGAACGTGTTATATTACGAATTCGAACAAGCAATTTCATTGTTGGCATATTGGGGATTCCCAAAAAAGGGTCTTTCGAAAGTTCAAACAAAATTTTAATAACGGCAATTTATTGCTGTGATATCCTGCATGTTTTCAAATGAGCGTGAGATGAAAATCAGAATAAGCATTAGTAAACAATCAAATTTTATCAGTTAATTAAAATTTCTACGCCCTAAGAAACTGCTTGGATTTTGTCGAAATCGTTTCTTTTTTTCTATGTTTGAAGCGGGCCACAACGTATATGATTTTTATTTATATTCCCTTCTAAAACATAAATCCTATATTTCGTTTCAATTTCGGTTTCTAGTTTTAAAGCTTCCATATACAGTGTGTTGGAGATAAGAGGCTCACCTTAATATCTCTTTTTTTTTAAGGTGAAATACGAAAAATTTGTCAAATATAATTTCATGTGTGACATTACGATCTATCCGATCACATATTGAAACGTCCGGTATCACTTCCGGTTTAACTTTTGTTTTACAAATGCAATGCAATGTTTCTTAAGGTCTTTCAAAAGAGCAATCAATTCTCTGTCCGACAGCATAAAATATGCGGATGGTATAGAAAACAAATGGAGAAATTCGTGATTCAATATTTAGAAAAGTTATGGTATACCGTGTGCTGTCAGGATGCGCGGTGTCCATTGTGTTTGTTACACAGAGAGATCGTATCGCGCCAAAGTAACTCTTCAAAACGGAACGTTAATGAAGGATTAAAATATTTTCAACGATATTTTGATTTCATGAATCAATCATGAAACCAGGTTTTCTAAACATTGAAACATTGTATGGCGAATTTCTCCATTTTTTTTGGTATCTCAATCATATGCATATTTTATTATTATTATTTATTATCCCTCTCTTGTTCTGGGCCCTCAACAGGCTTGCGCCCAATTACAGAGTGACCTGCATAATGCTTTTTAGAGGTGCCTCTGCAGAAGGTCTTAAGTTGTTCTATACTACTCCGGTATTTACCTTCCGAATTAGGAAAACTGCAGGAAAACCTAATTCGGAGTAGCCGGCAGAATGCTCGAAACTGGTCTAAGGTATTTCCCATCTCTGTCACAGATGAAAAATTCACCCCAACTGAGGTTCGAACACCCGACCTCCGGATTTATAGTCCAACGCTCTACCACTGAACCATAAAGCCATTATGTTGTCGTACAGCGAAATGCGATTGATCTTTTCTTAAGAAAACATGGGCATTGCATTTGAAAAACAAATGTTTCTTCCAATTTCTGTTAAACCGGAAATGTTACCGGAAGTTTCAATACGCGATCGGATAGATCTAGGGATAGATCGTAATGTTACATATAAAATTATATATGATAAATTTTTCGTATCTCACCAAACAAAAAGATATTGAGATGACCCTCTTATCTTGAACACACTATATTTCGAACTCTATTACTCTTATACTATTTCAAGATATTTCGAGATTTCATCTAAAGTTCAAAGTGTTCAAGATTCTTTTCCGGTTTAAAAAACTTTCAAGATCGTATAAGCCTTGTAGCCTTATTTTTAATAGTGCACCTTTTACCCATTTTTAGCTGTCTAGTTTGAGCTATTGCAATCGGCGTTTTTTTGGACATGTCAAAATCTGATCTAATGCTGACATTTTACATCATTTGTATCTGTGTATTATTTGATGGTCGCTTTCAGAATGTTATTATGCATCAAATCGCTATAACGGTCTATATCGGTTTCAAGTACTTAGTTTTTTTTGTTAATCCATAAATTTTATATTTAAAAGCGATTTTGAGAAGAAACAACTATAATGGTAGGTATTCACGTTCAGTTTGCCGGCCGGCCATGGCCTGTCAGTCCACGGCCGGACGATCGCTTTTCAATACACACGTAGAGGCGGACGGCCGGCGAAATCCGGTCGCCTGTCTATAGCGGTGAAGATCGTAACGTGTGTACTGCTTGGCCGGCCGGCATAGGACGGACGGATTAATTTTAGTCTGGAGTAAAATTTTGTCCTATGCTTGCCGCATAATAGTGTCTTTTTTGTAAAACAAGGTTTAACTAAATTCAATAAGTACGCGAAGCAATCGTCATCCATTCTCAGGTAGTTTTTTAAATCAATTTCACTTGTTGTTCGGAGTTCTTGTATTATCTCCATGTGTGATAAAGTGTGACGTTTTCTGAGCAGTCTTTCACCCAAATTTTCATCCGTTCTCTCCTTTTTCTTCTTCTAAAATTACAACAATCGTCTTGTTCTAACATGTCTATTTCAAGCAACTGTCGATCATAAACTGTGCGTGTGTTGGTGTGTATTGAATTTAATACGGCCGGCCGGCAAATATCGTATCCGACTATGGACTGCCGGCAACGGCCGGATGTTAAAACTGGACGTGTGTATTGAGCAACGATCACGGCCGGCCGGCCTGGACTGACAGTCCATGGCCGGCCGGCGAACTGAACTTGAATACCTACCTTAAGTATACTGGGTGTTCCTAACGAACTGTCAAAACCAATAAAAACAAGAGATTATCTCAATGAAGCCAGTGCCTACTGGACCATTATAAAAATTTATAAATATATAACAACAATAGTTGGGTTATAAGGTAGTATCATGCTATATTTATCGATGTTTACTTTCTTGGTAGATGATTAATGGGGAAGGGGCTCTTTACGCATGAATATCTAAAGGCCGCCTAGCATACATTCAAACTCTAAGTTATATCATGCAAGGAGAATCAAAGCGTTTAGAGAAATTCTCCGAAATTGCATTTTCCCTTTGTAAGTACCTTGCTTTTCCAGATATTTGCAATTAAGTTCTTACATGACCAGTAAATGCGTCTAGATTATTCTGCTCTTTGAGAGTACCCTCCTCCGACACTCCGTTCTGCAGATATTTGCACTGAAAGTTTTGAGCGAGGTTTTGACCACCACCACCATCACCAGTAGATATGTCTCGTTCTGACGTTTTCAAGATACTCGCTTCGACTTCACCAATAGATATGTCTCGTCCAGACGTTTTATTTGGCCTTTGTGAGTACCTCTTCAGACAACCGGTTCTTAAAATATAAGGAACTACATCCGCCCTCTTTAAGAGGTCGAGGAAGAGGACTATGGTTAGCAGAAATTAATCCTTTTCGTTGAGACTTTGCATTAGAGTACCATGAGAGAGAAAACCAGGCCAACCCCCATCCCCAATCCTCCTCTGTATTTACATTATATTTAGGGCTGCATATCACATGAATCTGTGGAGCTTTGACATAAAATCAACAAGATTGTTTCAATTCCTGGGAATATCAAAGCTTACTAGATAGGACTTTTAGAGTCAATCGGCTTTTCACACAAAATACGGATTAACAAGATAGCCATTAGGCACAGTTATAGCAAATCGATGCATCATACAATTCTTCATCGATCAGGATATAATATACACAGTGTCACATTTTAAAAAAACGAATGTTATCAACTGTGAACAGATTACGGCTGCCACAAGTGCTTTAATCGCAGAAAACGGTCTCCCATGAATCAGAAAATCTGGTAAAATACTGGCGGCTATTTCACTCTCATGGTAACGTTTAAAATTAAAACCTACTTTAATTAATTTCTAGGCTCCCGGGCATCCTAAAAATCTGGGACGTATCTCAAAATCTGTATTAATGAAGCGCGCTTCTAATGACACTAGATGCAAACCAATCAGACGAGTTTTGCTGCAACCCATCTGATTAGCTACCGGTATTTGTGCTCACTCAAATGGCCGGGCTGAAATTTCCAAATTCGATAGTCCAGTATTGTTACATGGAATTTCGGGTTAATCTCAGCTTTAAGATACGCTTTGATTGGAGCGAAGCGGACGCGCTGTAAAATACTATTACTTCCATTGCACGTATTGTAACTGCCCGTTACAGTGAACGTTTACCTTTAATGCTCGCTTTCGTTAACATTGAAACACTAAAATGGGTTAATAATCAATTAACGGAGCACACCATATTAATTTTCCCTCTTCCAATCGGAGAGAGCTTTCAGATGCTGCAAAGATTATTTAAATATCTCCACGGGAACGGTTAGAAACCGCAAATTAGTTACGGCATCTCGGGGTCCTTATCGGAGGCTAAAACTGCGCTTCAAATGAAAACAATTGCTTTTACCTTCTAATTCCAACTCCTAGAAATGAAATACATACTTCCGGAAGCTACAATTTCTCTTCAGGAACCGCCCGCTTTAGTTCGTCGAAGTACCGGGTGTTCATTAGCTTCCATCAATGTACGGTGCGTTCATTAATTTTGGTGTAATTTCTGTAAGGAAACAAGTTCTTCGTTACTATTTGACGTCAAATTCCAGTACCGAGTTTGTCCGTAGTTGGCCACATTTTTACTAAACTTAAAGTTTCGTTGATCAAATCTCTTTACTATCGATTTGCAATCGTCATAATAAATTGAACCAATCTGGAGGATTCTCGTTATCTAATAATAGATACATTCATTGGAAAAGTTACTTTCCTCAAGATGGGTCCACACATGAAATAATTTTATAGAATTTAATTTCTTTTTGATTTTTTAAACCGATTAGAGTAAATGAGCGAATCTTTAAGGTTCCCCCTGATAAAAATTTAAATTTGCAACACCCTTACCCCACGGTTTCCTACTGTTTTGAATACAATCCGATAGTTACCCTAATTTATTATGCAGCAATACCAATGGCTATATCCCTTGCTCGTTCCATCTCGAAGCTAATATTAGGGTAACATAATTTAATTTCGCGCGTTTAAAACTTCCACTATTGTTCGTATTTACCGCAATCGTTCCCAATTCGCAAATTTCGGTAAAATCGTTCCATAAATGAGAAAGTGACTTTTGCGCATGCGTGGTTGGTTCCAATCGGTTCAGCCCTTTAGCCGGAAATGTAAAAAGTGGGGGGGGGCATTTTTACCTCAATACAATACCTCCCTTAAGTACTAACGTACGAAATCCAAATTAAATCATAACCTTGAAAATATTTTAAACTGAAAGAAAACCTTGAGTAACGCTGGACTTCAAAAATGTAGAATTCTTTAGCAGTTTTTTTTCTGTTCACGAACACTTCTAACGAACGCCTACCATGAGACACCCTGTATATGGTGTTCCAAATTGACTGGGGTTCTATGGATAACTTTCTCATTATTGAAAGCGAAAATTAAGTGGGTTTTTCATGTTGAATATCCAATATCCGATTAGAATTAGATTAGATATGTTAGATTAGAACTGCGACTTATCTTGACCTTAAAATATAATCATACGCGGTTCGTGATTATAAAATCATGATACTTTTCTCAATTTGTGTGTACAATTTGTTTCATTTCGAGCAATACATTGGATCCTATCATCTATAAGAGGAATCGGGGGAAAGTAGTGTAACTTCCCAGCCCACTAAGTTTATCGTTCATCTCAATATCGCTGTGCTATGAATAAAGATATACTTGAAATCACGAATCTTTGTCCCTGCGTCATTGATTTGTGAATCAATTTCAGACATACGCTAAAACACTGTAATATCTGTCAAGTATGCGAAATCGATAAAAAACTTGTCTGAAATTGATTCACAAATCAATGACGCAGGGACAAAGATTCGTGATTTCAAGTATAGATACTTATAAAGATCGTAATCGTGCGCGCCGTTGAAACCACCCTCTTGACTCCCAATGCATGAGCGAAGCGAAGTGTTTATAAGCGCATAGCCGTTTATAAGTTGAATGTTCCACTGTACAATGCGTTTAAAGAAGTTGTGTAGATCCAGTGGCGTGCGGTATTTACTGTTTTAGAGTACCTACCTACTCGTATCACAAATAAAAACACTCATTTTCAATGCTGACTTTTTCTGTTTAAATATTTATAAGATACTGGTCATTTATAATTACTGTTAATTAATTGATTGACCTCGCCCAGTTCCATTAGATTTCAGTTTGTCAAATGCAGGAAAACATGCATTTATTTAATAATTTCAATTGCTAGGCAAAGGTTGCTAAGATATCACCGTTGGGCTCGTTTGTGTTAGCCGTTTTATAATAGGACGGATTTTCGCCCTTAAAATTATATTTAACAAATTTTTATTATCTCGCAAAAAATGAGATGAGAGATATTGCGGTGACCCTATACACTTTTTACAATTTCGGATCAGCCTTACGTTTCTGTGATAACTGGCAAACACAGGCGATGTGGCAAAGGACAAATTATTATTGTGAATATTTAAATTTATCTATAGTATTGTTGGGGTCACCATACATTTGATCTTATGTCAAATCCTTCTATTGCTTTTTCGATTGGTTAACTCTATGCAAAAATGTTAAAATAAGTTCTTGTCGCAAATTTAGGTTTTTACGAGTCTCGCACTTTACTGCTGCTAATAATGTACTAATTTAGATATGTGAGAGATTTATTAGTGAAACTGTGCAAATGTTGATTAAAACATTACGACTTAATTCCTGTCTAATTTATTGCTGTAAGCGTTGCGTCTATTACTCTCCCCGGGACCATACTATATTATAACGCATTTTCAGATAAAGCCGTCAAATTTAAATAATGGACAACTTCGGATTTCGAGATTCGCAAGGCCAACCAAAACTTAGACGCTCGATCAGCGTCAATACGGAAATGGAAAACTTTCCGCTCTACAAGAATCAGCACAACCGATCGCTGCTTCACTGGCGGCGACCGGGCAAGATGGACCCCGAGGAGATGCTCGAGGAAGAGTATCCTTCGGAAGATTTCGAGTACGTACAGTGCGGACCCTCGCCACCCTCGGATCACATTTACGAGAGCTTCGAGGAGTCGACGTCGAGCAGCGACTTAACGGTACAAATCTGCCTAGAAACAATTAAAATGAATTTGATGGAGCATATGAAGACATGTTCAGGAAGGCACCAACTTCTGGACGATATCGAAAATAAAGTCACGACTCAGGATAACATCGTTGAAGCATTCAAGTCGGCCTCCAAATCGGAAATAAATATCGCATTTTTATGGTGCGCCCTACTAAAACGTTGGGACTTGCTCGACGGGCTTTTATCGATAGGTGCGCAATTACTGTACGCCGAGCCCCATCAAGGCCTGACAGCCCTGCATCTGGCCGCATTTAGCGGTTGCCTTGCCGGTACGCAGTTTTTGCTTTCGAAGGGGGCCGATGTTAACGCCTGCTTTAAGTGCTACAGCCCTTTACACTGTGCGGCATTTGGAGACAGTCCCGATACCGCAATGATTCTCCTGAACAACGGCGCACGCGTGTCGGCGCTCACGTCCAATCCGGCCAATTGCCAAGAGAGCGTCTTACATTGCGCCGTGAGGGCAAACGCCGTCGCCTGCGTACGACTGCTGATCGCGGAGGGCGCAGACACCGGTCAGATCGAATATACCGGAATGTCGCCCATTCATCTGGCCGCCGATTTGGGCCACGTTCACTGCCTCAAGATTATGTTTGAGACTAAGGGATTAAATGTCAATGCCAAAACTAAGGAAAAGGAATTGACGGCTTTACACTTGGCAGCTGAGGGAGGGTACGCCGACTGTGTCGAGTTGCTACTACAGAAAGGTACGTGCGGTTTTAACGACAGTCCAGTCAATGAGGCTTAATCACTTACTCACATTTCAAAAATAACCATTTTCAATTAAATCATAAAGGTACTCGCTTGGCAGGGTAGTGAAACTTCGTTGGACAATGGGATAGCTCGGAGCGTCAGTGGTTTGCTACATACTTGTATGTATCGGGTGACACAATAAGACTGGTCCTCGGCCATATCTCGAGAACCGTTCGTCATATGACTTAGGGGTAAAAAAAAATCGGGTAAATCGGTCATGAAGAATCTCTGGAAAATAAAAGTTCTAAAAATTACCAACAGAGGGCGTAACTGCCATTTTAAATTTTAAAATTGCATTTTCTTTAAATTTCGCATAATAAACTAAATAATTTTTTTTCACATTTTTAAAGAGAACCAGTTTATCTATCATTTTCGTAAAAACAAAAACTCAGTTATTTCACAAACAAAGATGGTGTGCCCCGTTCAATTGTGTTTGCAATAACCTGCTTTAACTTCTTAACCGTTTGACCGATTTTAACAAATTTGGTATGGTTGAAAAGAGCATTCCTTGGGCAATGAAAATCAATCAAAATATAGTTAATTTAGTTGAATTCTTCTCCGCCAGGGGGCTAGTTATGACCCAAAATCCTAAAAAAATGAAAAAAATCAAATGGAATGATACCTGGAATTATATGACTTTTTCTTTATGAAAAAGTAGCCAAATAACATCCAAAGAGGCCAGTGAAAACCGTTTTTCAAAATCTCGTTCCTAACCTCAAATATTGGGAGACAGATTAATTAATTAATTAATTAAAATGCTTAAATTGTATCTTAAATTTACTTTTTACGTATTTCCGGTATTGTCGATGGCGCGAAAGAAAAGCACCCTACACTTTTAGGTTGGCCTTAAATTAAACAAATGAAACATGATGCATTATAAAATAATAGCAGCCGTAATTTTAAATTATTCTGCTGTGTTTACATTCAGAAAGTCCTTTTTTTTCTATTTCTAACCAAGAAGCATTTAATATGCTGGCGATATATTTTGAGTATTTTCAAAATGCGACCATCGCTGCCCGTATCTTCTATTTGCGTTATCCGAATCAACCACGAACCATCCCCGCCAACATATTTAATGCTTCTTGATTAGAAATCGGCATTATAGAAAAGAAGAAATTCAAAAAACTGCACTTTCTGAATGTAAACACAGCAGAATAATTTACAAAGTATGGCTGTTATTATTTTATAATGCATCGTGTTTCATTTGTTTAATTTTCCAAGGCCTACCTAAAAGTGTAGGGTCCTTTTCCAAACAATCTTTCGCGCCATCGAAAAATACCGGAAATACGTCAAATAAGATACAATTTATTCTCCCAATATTTGAGGTTAGGAACGAGATTTTGAAAAACGGTTTTCACTGCGCTCTTTGGGTGTAATTTGGCTACTTTTTCTTTAGAAAAAGTAATATCATTCCATTTGATTTTTTTCATTTTTTTAGGATTTTGAGTCATAGTGTCAAAACTAGCCTCCTGCCGGAGAAGGATTCAACTAAATTAACTATATTGTTGATTGTTGATTCTTGTTGCCCAAGCAATGCTCTTTTCAACGATACCAAATTTGTTACAATCGGTCAAACGGTTAAGAAGTTAAAGCAGGTTATTACAAAAACAATTGAACGCCTCACGCCATCTTTGTTTTTGAAATAACTGAGTTTTTGTTTTTACCAAAATGATAGATAAACTGGTTCTCTTTAAAAATGTGAAAACAGAATGTTTAGTTTATTATCCGAAATTTAAAGAAAATGCAATTTTAAAATTTAAGATGGCAGTTACGCCCTCTGTTGGTCATTTTTAGAACTTGAACATATTTTCCAGCGATTCTTCACAACCGATTTACCCAATAATTTTTTTACCCCTAAGTCATACGACGGACGGTTCCCTAGATATGGCCGAGGAACAGTCTTATTGGGTCAACCGGGACAGGGGTTGTTGCGAATAGTCGCTGTGGAGAAAGAATTGACATAGCAAAGATTTACTAGTCCATCATTTGGGGCTTTCTGTATCCGGTTTCCACAATAGAAACCCAGGGTCACATGGGCGATAACCTTTAGGTAAACTTTGTGACTTAGTTCTCCGTTTCGTTTGGATCTCTGTTTGTCATACAATATTTGTCTACTGTTGAATCCATGAAGAACACATGCTTCTTGCTGTCTTCATGATGACTAACTTTACGCTTACTCTAACCAAACTCAAATTGGTCCCCAATTCTATGCCAGGCGGTCGTTAGTGTTCAGCTTTAGTACTCAAAATTAATCCTGTAAAAGAATTGTTTGACGAAGAGTGAGGTCTAGCGGCTTGGGAAGTAGACTACAAACTGATTCGAGGTCCCATCAGACCAACTTTGGCACTTTCTCGTCCATTGAGTGCACTCCACCTCTGAAATTGGGTACCTGGAGTTTATTTCTAGGCGGGTAATAGTAGGCGGCTGAGGAGCGTAAATGTTTCCGCTTCCCTGGAGTTTGTTCCAGATACGTCCGGGGCTAAATTAAGTGTGCCTAGCACACTTAGACCTGTAGAGTTTCATAGAAGCTCTAAAAGCGGAACGATTATTAAAGAATTTCTTCAGATTAACTTCACGTTTTCTCGAACCAGCCTCCAATTTGACCTAATATAATCGTAAGTGCGATTTCTGCTAGTCAGTTTGGGCTAACTTCATGCTTTCTTAAAGAAAGCTCTATTCCAAGCCGATATTTAGTGCTTCGTTAATAGTAATCAATGCGCAGTAAACCAGCAGTATTGCTGTGTTTTTTGTTTCGAGTAAGCTGTAATTGTTTCAGCATTTAACTTGAGTGAGTGATGGTTAAAGATGGTGGGTAGATCTATCAAGTGTGTTCCAAAGTTCTGACAAAATGATGTCCAATAAGGCTGACACTTAACAAATGCTTACTGGTTTGGTTTGCTGAATGGAACCCCCTTCTGTGTGTATTAGGATGGTTGAGATGTTTCTCTCTGCTTCAGGATGCGTTTGTTCCCAAAGACCCGCCCTTCGCATTCACTTTGTAACTCTCCATAGCCGAAGTAAATCGGACGGACTGAAACAATTCAAAAAGTGCATACGTATATTTCTCATGAATCTGGTAGTCTCAACAACTTCCTCTCCAAGGCAGAGGATAGAGTAGAAGCACCTCTGACGACGGCTCTTCGCGGAGAAACTATACAAATTATTGCTTCCCGTATCCCATGCGCCAATTTCGGCCGCTCTTATTGACGACCCCTCTCTGCTACAGTTGTTTAGCTATGGCGCTGGCGTGAGAGTAAATTTTTCGCAATTTAAGAGTGATATCTCCACGTCGACGCTTGGGATCATCTAACTTTAAAGTAATTAGCAACCAAAAAAGTAACCGTCCCAGTGAGGCAACCCTGGAAGTATTGTTCATGTGGGATCGAACACTCGACCAAAGCTTCGACTGCCCCTCAAAGAAATCCCCTCCATTCGATGGTTATTTTTTACTTTCAATCTCTATCGTCTCTGTAGAACTATTATCATATATGGACCCAGGGATAGGGTTCTATGTGGCGCATTTTAAAAGAGGTCGGGCCTCTCGCAGATAAAAATCCGTTCTTGTTTCCCATGATGACCAAATACATCATCGGTGAGTAGGCGAACGTCCTCACACTGGAGGATTAGAAGCAAAACGAGAAGAGAAAAGACATTTGAAGAGCTTCGCGAAGAATGGGCAAATCTCCGGATTGAGCTCAAGTGGTCATTCAAAAAAAATGTGACGAATTTCCACGAGGTAAGAAGGTTTTTTTTAACTCCTTTTACAATGTATCCTTCTCTGACAAATGATCAGTCTCCGCAAGGTACTTTTGTCAGACATCATCACACAAAATTTATACATGGAGACATCATCCATGAAGTTGTCTGGAACTCTTTCAAAACGACCTTCATAAACTGGAAGGTTAGGGTACTTCTCTGATCGCCAGGCTCCCTTCTGAGCATCTGCGACGTTTTCAGTTTCTCAAGAGTACCACTTATGCTGCTCTTATACCTCCAGTATGTCAATTTTAAAAGTCGCCAGTGGGAGTATACCTACATATACTTCCCATATCATGTGTAAGTATTGCTTGCATTGTCGTCGAAGAACAGAACAGTTTCACTCAAGAGTTCTGCTCTCTTTCGCCAAATGGCAGACCTAGGTTTGGCAAGAGTGTCACAGTAGCATTGCACATTACCGAACGATCGGACACGTCGGTCAGCTGTGCTTTCCCCTCTCGTTGGTGCTCTGCGCATGCGTCATCCCTCCGCCGCTCGCGCTTCTTTCTTCATTGAACTACCAAAGATTATGGCGACTCTTTGGCCCGTATGAATAAAAGTAAGCAAATGCTTATACTTGCAAAATTCAAAGTAAATACTCGTAAGTGCTCCTTCGCACTGGGCGACTTAGCAGCGCTTCTAAGCAGAAGGACAGGACGCAGTGCAGCGCAGCTAAACCATGCTAAACAGACCAGTATGAAGGGGCAGTTACGAGTATTTACTTTGAATTTTGCAAGTATAACCATTTGCTTTCTTTTATTCATACGGGCCTTTGTTTCATCTGGTGTACCACTTACTCTTTCAAAACAATGACGACACTTACTTTCGGAACGTCGCTCGCAATTTTGAATCTTAGTGTGTCGTTCCTTCTAAAATCACAGAATTGGACGATGCGAACTGTGGAAAACAAATTAGACATTTCCCAAAATTCAGAGAGTTGTGAACAATTTTTCATCATACCTTTGCTTTATTAGGATGACATACTCAGTTTTTGGGCATTTTTACATCTACATACGTACCTAAAATGTTGTCGAGCTATAATGAGGCAAACAAGATAATTAACCAGTGTCTTCCGTCAAGGAGCATTATTTTACTAATACACATTGTAAAATTGGCGATTCTGTAGAAAAATTGTACCTATTTCATGATAATAGATATTATCTAGGGAACTGTTAGTAAATCTTGAGGCTTACAGCTAGTTAAGCAGTACAATTCCCTAATGATCCATAAAGCTACGATAACGTTATAAAACAAATTACGCAATTGTATTTTTACGTAAAAAATGATCTTGAAAAATGTCTGTGATTTCGCAACCTCTACGATGAAAATACCTGTACAACGCCATGACATTTTAATTTTCTTGGAAAGCAGGGCTACTCTCTTCTTCTCGTGTACTCGACAATTTCACGTTTGCGTCTTCGCTATACGGTATGGTTTCTTAGTTTTGCTTCACTATGACCTTAAATGAAATTCCACCTGAGGTCGTTTAAGATATTATAGTACAGTGGGAGAATTTCGCTCCTGGATTATTCCCCCTCTCCCCCAGCTATTTTCGCTGCAGATTATTTGCTTCCGTTATATCCGCTCTTGAAAAATTCTCCTTCAGGGTGCAAGTGAATTCGCTCACAAAAATACGCCATTCCAGAGTTTACCCGTAAAAATACTCCAAATTAATTGCATCCAAAAAGAGAACGCACTTTTGGTATTACTAATTATTAATTCCTCCTAAATGTTAACTAATATGGTGATGCATCGATGTTTAGTTTGTCATTACCGGAACCACTTACCCGAGGACTTACCCGAAGAATTGTCATAAATAATAAAGAATTTTAATATCGCAAACCATAGTATCCAATTACTATTTACCGCTAGAGGCATGCGCATGCAGCATTTTACACGAATTGGTCGGCGCATGTCAAAGTTTTCGAAATACCATGTGAGAAAATAATGCTTGTGAAGGCCCCGGGATGAAGACAAAGTTTGAAAGTTCAGGGCGGTAGGACTATTACCCCAAAAGTAGTTCAAAACGGCAGAAGTGGGTCCTGGCGAATGGACGCTTGGGAGGAACAGAACTCGAACTATGAGGCGAGATTTTTCTACGGGTTTTTGTTGTCCATCGAAGAATTTGGTGACCGCTTCTTGCATCTCTTCGTCCGTCTCGAAGCGTTGACCATTCAACTGTTCCTTTCATTTTGGGAACAAATGGCAATCACTCGGTGCGAGATCAGCGCTGTAGCGGGTATGTTACAGGAGATCCCAGCCAAATTTGATTATTTAAGTCCGTTGTTTGGCGAGAGACGTGCAGCCTTACCTTTGATCAGTCTTCCTCTTCAGCGATTTTGGATGGCTGCTCTAAGTTTTTCCAAGGCATTGCAATAACGTTCTCTAGGCGTATACTCAGTAACTCGGACGCCCTTAAGGGTCAGCTACAGTGACTTTATAAGGACAGTTGCGACCAAGGTGGCGGCAACTTATGATAATCCGCCATATTGGAGCTAAAAAATTGATTGTAGGATCAATATACCTTGTCATCTCAAATTGTGACCGTAGAATAATAAATGTCAGTTTCATTTAAATAAAGATTCCCGTTCAAAACTAACGGCGCAGAAATGATCGTTTAAAGCTTTGCAGAACAACATATGGGAAAACCACTGCCTCCCAAATTCATTCCCAGATATATGGAAAACGGTATAATAAGTATAATGTCACTTCTTGTCCTTTGTCGCGTGATTCTCCTTCCAGGACAATAGTTATTACTTTAGTCTCTTAAATTGAAGACGAAATACGTTGATTTAGTCCACAGTGTACAAGAGATCAATATTCCTTGTGCTTCAGCAATCATCAATGTTAAACATTAAACCAATTCAAGTGTATTTATGATCGCAATTGCGTTATCCATAACCATAATTGAATTTGCTGCTAAATTTCGGATAAGCTTCTTCGCTAACCAGTTTTCTATCTAACTCATTAGGTATTTGGGCTTTTGAATAAATTACCAGTAGTAAGGTTAGGCACAGTTTTACACCTAAAAACACTTTAAGCGAATTACATACCTTATAATATCGTAAATCCAAGCTATATGCTCGGCTGTATGTGTCTTTAAAAATCGAGTTTATATAAAACTGGAGACGGCAAACGTAAAATAAAGCAAGTACACGAAACAAAGTATCCACTATTCTTCGTTCACCCAACAGAAATAGTTAAGCCACTCCTACAAAATGTGGGCCAATGTAAGCAGCAACCAGTTTTACAACCACAAAATTATAAAAAGCGGAAAATTTGAAAAATCAAATTGAAATGTCACTTGCTCAAGATTATCTATCTCTCTGAATATAAGTCGTGGCAAAAATAGTAAAACCTGCAAACTGTTAAATACATGTAAATATGCAACATAAAAACACTGTTTATATTGAGAAAAGTACAAAAAAGTATTATTACAGCAGCACAAAGTTTTGAAATTACAAGTGCACTTGAATATAAACAAAGGTACATAACAATTTACATCCTGTATCGCTTCACTCGGATTCGGACTCCGTTGACGTCGAGTCATCTCCCACATGAATTACTAATGGCTCCACTACGATGTCCATTAAAATATCAATTTGCCACATTTTTTCCTCTTCACTTTGAGCATGGCGAATTGCGTTCTTCCAATTTCTTGAAGATATTTAAAATGCCAGTTTTGTCTTCAACTGAAAAGTGCTTGGCAGAACGTTTTTTCGGTGGAGAGAAAGCAGCACCGGCGACATTCATGTTTGCGTACAACTTTTCTTGATCGCGAATAATATAACCCTAAAAACAGGCATGTAAAAATCGTGTATAAAATTTTATAATTACTCACCTGACTATCTTTAGAATACACCGACGAGTCTTTATAAAGACTATTTTGTGTGAATAAAGGAGATTAATGGCAAATTGACGCAAGTAAAGATGTAAAAACGTAAAAACCGGCAGAAACGCAATAGGCAAGATGACAGATTACCCAATTCGGCCAATTCGCTTTACAAGTGTGATTGTGGCTTCAAAAATTACACCAATAACAATGTCGTATTCAAATGTGGCGGTAATTGTTGAGGAGGGGCTTAACTATTTCTGTTGGGTGAACCGGCAGAAACGCAATAGGCAAGATGACAGATGACAGATTACCCAATTCGGCCAATTCGCTTTACAAGTGTGATTGTGGCTTCAAAAATTACACCAATAACAATGTCGTATTCAAATGTGGCGGTAATTGTTGAGGAGGGGCTTAACTATTTCTGTTGGGTGAACGAAGTATAGTAGTCGAGGCACACAAATTAAAAAAAAAAAA